TGGGCACTGCATTGCTCAGAGACATATGCATGCACACGCTCAGAGCCTGCAAGACACCTGAGGGAAAAGACAGTAATCAAGAGTGTTACTGAAATAAGTGCTAATTATTTTTGCCACACACGGTTGCATATTGTCAGACTAATGAAGCCAATTGATTTTAACAAAAGTATTATACAACATACCTACAAAGATCAGAATTGTGCAAACTATGATATTCTCTATGGATTTCAAAGAAGCAGGATAGGAAGAAAACAACTTGATGGCACAAAAATCAATCAAGCAAACAAACAACATTAAAAGGACCAATCCTTCCTAATAGGCAACATAGAAATTTAACATGTATCCCTACTCCATGCCTGAAAGCTAATAAGAACTCTTAAAAAGATAGTAATCATAATAATAACTAAGCTACTAAATTTATATGTCACCTGATTCCCTGTGATTCAACAAAAGAGGATTTTTCCAAGCAATCTGATCCTGTTTCTTTGATTTATTTGAAGACCCAGATTGTTGGGGGCAATATGCTGACTTTGTAAACCACGTAGAGAGTGCTATAAAGCATTGTGAAGCAGTATATGAGTGCTATGGCTATTACAGCATAAGAGAAGCAACTCATCCAGTTAAATAAATAATAGACTTTTATAAAGTAATGTAATGATTTATAGTTTCAAATTTTTGTCCTCTTTTTAAAAAACAATACATGGACTTTATAGTTGTTTTTACCAAATCCTTTGGTTTAACTGAAGCACATTGAATTTTGACAATTGTATTTCTTTTATTATTATGTTACTTTCATCCATCATCATCATCAATTTATTTTCTATAATTTAATGCAAAAAACATGATTAAATCAGTCAATCCATTTTTGCAGAATCATAAGTAAAATCTATTTTGTCCTATTTCTATAACTCTCTATGACTTTTGTAAAATCTGTGTGAAAAGTCTTCCTTACTATATTTTTGCTTTTTTTCACCAATGATGGACTGACAGAATTTGGGGTTTGTGTTTTTTTTAGTCAAGAAACATACTAGAACATTTGGAAAGTGTGGGTGGAAAAGTACCAATCTGTACATTAGCACAGGCAGTTCAGATCAGTTTCCATGAGAATTCTTAGAGATCTATTGTGGCCAGAGCAGGCCACAGCTTGCAGTTACCACTTTCTTTGAGTTTTCATGGTCACTGAGCAATTTACAACCAACTGAAATGTGTAAATTTGGGCCACCTAGACCAAATCTTGTGGTCTCTAGAAGATGTATTTCTGAATTAGGCAGGAAAAAGGCAAAGGCACTGATTGCCATGGCAGTTGATTAATTGATTGATTGAATGCCACACAATGTCAGGGAACATGTTAGACACATACTAGACACATACTAGACACAATCCAGTATTGACAACCTAAATTACTAGTTCATTCTGTTAGGCGTTTGTGTGCCTATCCTTGATGCACTGCAGGGGGCAAACTAGCTAGGTATGGGAGAATTAATTGGATATAGATAATCCTCAACTTACAACTGTAATGGAGCCTACCCCAGGGGTGAAATTCAGCAGGTAGGTTCTGACAGATTCTGGAAAACTGGTAGCGGAAATTTTGAGTAGTTTGGAGAACCAGCAAATACCACCTCTTGCTGGATCCAGAGTGGGGTAGGAATGGAGATTTTGCAGTATCCTTCCCCTGGAATAGGGAAGCAATGGGGATTTTGCAATATCCTTCCTGTGGAGTGGGGTGGGAATGGGGATCTTGCAGTATCCTTCCCCTGAAGTGGGGAGGGAATGGGGATGAGATTTTACAGTATCTTTCCCCTGGAGTGGGGAGGGAATGGGGATTTTGCAGTATCTTTTCCCTCCCACAGAGCCAGTAGTAAAAAAAAAAATTGAATTTCACCACTGGCCTGCCCGTTACAGTCATAAGTCATGACAATCCTAAAGTGGGATCCCAAATGTTTGGGATGCCAAATGCTTGTTAAGAAAACCCATCATTTGCTATTGGGCTTTTGTTTTATTTTTTTGCTGAAAACTGAAAGTAAACACTGGCTTTCGGCAAAAACTTTGTAAATTAGAGTCATGTGACTGCAGTGTATTCAAACAGCTGTAAATGCAGGCTGGTTGCTAAGTGGCCAAAATGCAGTCACATGACCATGAGGGGGATATCAAGCCTTTTGGAGGTTCCAACATAACTTTGAATGGTCATTAAGCAACCAGTTGAAAGTTGAGGACTATCTCTAGTTTGTACTGAAAGCCAACTTCATTGGAAATGGCAAGGGTTAATGAGAAATAGGACAAGCAAGGCACTGGGAAGATGGACAGGCCAGTCAATGTCCAAGACAAGCAGCAGAGCATAGAAGAAAAGGACAAGGTCCATTCACTTTTTAAGAATCTCCAAAATCTGGAACAGCCAATCTGCTGCCTACCCAGCATGCTTTGACAAACCTTCCAAAACATAATGCAATTTGTTCCAGGTTTAAAACAAAACATCATTTTTTATTTATTTCGTGCATTCCCTAATGCCATTATTGAAACTTATTGGTATCTTGTTCCCTACCCTGGTTTTAAAAAAAACCAGAAATTCCTCAGAAGCTTTCTCAAGTTAAGTAAAGCAATTGGCAGGTCTATTTTTTGCAATCCCAAATACCACTACCACTAACACCAGCAATTTCACAGATTTATAAATCTGGAAAGGGTCGTTTTGGCTTTTGAGTCTAACCCTCTATATTTTCTTCCTCTTCAAAAATCAGTAGTAAATCAGGAGTTATGAAGAGAGTATTTTCAATATTCCAGTATTACTTCAGAAGATGCAAAACCAATCCACTTCAATCAATTTATCATATTTAGAAAGTGGCTTGATTACCTCTTAAAGAAACATTTGTAAAATTTCATCTGGTTTCTGCATGTAGTATCTGAATTGGGGCTATTTTGCTGGTTCTTTTTAGAAAGCTGAAATGTAGATTGAATTATTACTATCAGAAAGGGAAAAAAACCCTGCCCATCCCTGAAGGGCAAGTAAATATTTCTTTAATAAACAAATCTTGTTCCAGGCTTAAAACTAATGGACAATAACCTAATTCCAATATAATAGTTGAGAATGCACAGAGACATGTTGAAGGCTTATTAGGTTTCCATTCCCTCTCAAACTCATTTTAAGTTCCTGGACGTAAAAGGCTCTCCTCAAATGCAGGAAACAGTTATTTGCATTGGATGATGATGTCTTGGGTGAATTCTAACTAATGGGATGTTCAAATTATTATCCTATAATAAAAAAGAAGTTCTTTGCTTGTGTGTGAGTAAGAGGCATAATGTCAGGAGAAGGCTGAGCATGTGTCCCTGTGTCAATGAATTGAGATTACCCTATTTTTTGGAATATAAGACACACCGAAGTATAAGACGCACCAAGATTTTGAAGAGGCAAATTTAAAAAAAGGTTTTGCACTCTGCAGGCCTCCCAAAAATGGCCTTTGTGAAAAAGGGTCTGTTTTTTATTTTAAAAAATTGCATGCATAGCCTTTAGGAGGCTTATAGAGTTCTCCTGTGGGCTGGGGGGGGGGGATGAGCAAAGAATGGCCTGTTTTTGCTCATTTTTGCCCTCCCCAGCACCCAAGAGTACCCTATAAACCTCCTAAAGGTTATGCATCACCATTTTGATGAAGGGGCAGGATTTTGGGAGGCCAAAAATGCTGTATTCAATGTATAAGATGCACCCAGATTTTCACCCTTTTTTTTTGAGGGAAAAAGGTGTGTCTTATACTCCAAAAAATATGGGTATATGATGAAAAACCAATAATAATTCTACCATTGTGTACCTAAAGTATACAATGCAGCAATTAAGAGACAGAGGGGGAAATATGATAACTTGAAGAGATAAAGCTATATGCCTCTGATCCAAAGAATAAGACCGTCAACAATAAAATGTGCAGCAAATCCAGGGAAAGCTGATCCCGCTACAAAATTTTATCAGCACTTTGTTTATCTAGACATAAATTGTTTGCATAACTAATTGTGGATCCAATGTTGCAGAGAACTATTTATTTGTTAATATTCTCCCTGAAAGTAGCTTATACAGAGAAAATTTTATCTCCACAGCCAACAAATTTACAAGATGCTGACAGAGAGACCTCAAATCTTTCAATGGCAAAGGGTTGACTTGGGTGGGGTCTCCCTCTCTTCTAGTCAAAAACCTTAATCTCTGCAGCCCACTACCCCTGGCTATTGCTTGGGTTTCGTTAAGGCCAAATCTCCCCTAGTCCTAGTTAAAAAGCAACAGATTGGGTTTACCATCTTGTGTGTCTCCTCTACTGTGTTTAGGAACATACCCATAATCCTTAATCCCTGGAGCTATTGAGAATTGTAAATCAAAATATCTAGTGAGTTCTGGGGCTGGCTGCCTCCACCAGATGAAAAAGACTAACAGAGAGAGAGAGAGAAGGCGGGAGGGAGGGAGAGAGGGAGGAAGGGAGGGAGGGCAAAACCTTAATGCAAAATGTAAAAGCAGAATAGCTGAGTTTATACAACTCAGTTATCCAGGTCAAAGACCTAGCAGCTGCATTTGTACAATCTGTTAAATTTGATTAATTTTTAGCTGAACCCAGCCAATCTTATCTTTAGTTTATTAGTTTATACATATCTTTATTATGGTTACTAACCAGAGAATATCAATAAGTGTTGGAAATAAAACAGTTTGTGACTAGTTCATTGATACAACTAAAGTATACCTAATTTGGATTAGTCTGTGATTCAGTGTTTTAGCAAATGCAGAAAATAGGGTAACTCAATCAACTTGCTCAGGATTAGGAACATTGTAGTTTTAGGGCAAGTTCAACTTGAACTCCTGTAACTCCAGTTGACACTGGCAAGAAATTACTGGAGCAATATAAAATACCTTTGCTTTATCTCATAGAAAGTGCAATAATCAACCCAATGCCCTCCAGATTTGTTCTAGATTTAGCTTTAGATTTCTGGAGAATACCAGGTTGGAAAAATATGAATCAGAGATAGGAATAAGTTCTTACCTGTCTCAGAGTTGGTTGAAGCAACAGGCATTTTGACAACTAGAGAAGTCTTCTCAGTGATAGAATTAAAAAATAGTTAATTCTTCTTCTAATGAATACCTGTGGCGATCCTGCAGAGAGAAAAAAATGAATAACATTTCTTCAAAAGATGATCTCAGAAATATCCCATGGCCTACAGTATCATACACCCACTTAATTCTGAAACCCCATATCAAGTTCAGAGATTATTTATAAATAATTAGGTGATTTTTTTTTTGCATTTTATTCTTTAGGTAATAAAAAGAGGAATAAGAAGAGCTAAATTGTCAAGGAGATACTTATCATCTGCCAAGTTTCACTTTCTCCCACATTCGAATTTTTTAAAATCTGAAAATTTCCCATCCCAGTTATGAAGAATTTGCAAAGTTTTATGGCAAGTTTTATCAACAGCCCACCTAAATGAAGTAATCTACCATCTGCCCCATTCAAATTTGTGGAGTTGTTTCCAACAGTAAAAGAACTAAACAAATGTGCAGCTGTGAACGATGAAGACTACATCCAAGAAGAGAGAGTTGCCAATCATAATGAAACATCACAACAGTGGAAAAAACACAGAGAGATTCAAAGCCAGGCTTGTAAGAGATAAACATTTAATCCCCTCTAATTTAACTAATCTCACATTCTTTGTGGCCAATATATTTTAAAAATGCAATTTCTCTTACCAACCCCCCCCCGCAACATTCTGACCTCAATAATACAGATAATAAATATAGTTTATTATTCACATACATATACTGAACTGTATGCTGACATTTTTTTGCAAGTTGATGCTGAAAGATTATATAGCAACCATTTGAAGTTACAATCAACTCAAAAATGGGGACTTAAAATCTGTGTCTGAAGATCAGATCCACTTTGTGGTCATGTGACCCAACTTCAGGTACACATCACTATGGTGGCTGTTAGATAGGGTAATGGAAAGGCACACTCAGGCTAAAGGCAACAACAGCTCTTTATTGTAACAGAACAAGTATGTACAATCCAACGAAGGTTCAGTCTGACAACAGCCCTTTTATAGGGAGCTGTCAGACCCTTCGACCAATGAGATTAAACTTCTATTCCCACCGGAATAGAGGACCTTGGTGGAAACCACTATAACTGAAGCTAGTATCTAACAGTGCCTTTTATGGTTATTTGCAGCATTACAATTTTTGACAAAACCATACCTATAATAGACTATTGGTTTGCTTAACAACTGCAGCATTTGTTTAACATTTGCCAAGGTCATTTTACAACTTTTTGTTCACAAAAAAAGATCATAAAATTTAATCAGTTTCATGATTGACCTGTTTTATGACCATTACAACAACATAAATGCAGCAGGCTCCTTTATGTTCATATGTAGAGGACTAACTGCATAATTGGAAATTTTAAGCATGCTTTAAAATTGGAGAAAGGAACACCATGAGCTTATAATGTGTTGATGACATTTACAATAGCTACAAATGCAAAGCACTGGCAAGCCCTAATACTAGTAAAAGAACGTAGTAGAACAAATGGGACTAAAATTAAATATAAAGAAGACCAACTAATGACAACAAACAGAACCACCAGCCTCAGAACTAGCAAAGTAGCTTTTTAGGATCAGCTATCAATAGTAAAGGAATAAGCAATCAAAAAATACACCATATACTAGCACCTGGTAGAGCAACTATAAAGGCCTTAGAAAAGATACTCAGATGCAGTGCTGCATCTAATTACAATCATGCTGTGACACTCTATGGAAGCAAAAGTTGGGCTTTAAAGAAGTAGGATAGTAAGAATATTGACACCTTTGAACTTTGGCTTGGAGAAGCCTCCTGAGGATACTATGGACAGCCAAGAAAACATGCTAACGAATCATCAAATAAATCAACTTAGTATTCTCACTCCAGATACAAATAACCAAGTTCAAATTATCCTACTTCAGTCAATGATGCAAAGATCTAGTTCCCTAAATAAGACTTTAGCACTAGGAAAGGTGCAATGAAACAGAAGAAGAGGATGACCAGCAGCAACAAGGACTCAGTTATAGTGGCAATAAGTATCCTATTGGGAGTCTTGAAATTACAGGGATAAATCATCATGGGGAAATGAAAATTGACTCAATGGTATGTAATCAATCAATCAACAGTTTTATTATCTGTCATGATAACAAAAAATATCATTATTCTGAAAGATGCTAAACTTTATCACTTTATATATTCTGACTATAAGCAGCGTAATATTATTATGTTTGATTTCATAATAAGTCTCAATGTTTTCAATAGCGCTTTCATCCCAATTTCATTATATTCCCCTACAGCTGTAGTTTAAAGTTCCAGTAAAGACCAAATCTTCTTTCTCCTGTGTATAACTATTTATTGCACTAGATAGAGCTTAGACAGAAGAAAGGAAGTCTTGGTTCTTATTGGACTTTAAAATTATAGCTGTAATGGAGTACAATGTAGTTTGGATGTAAGCTCTTTGAGGCAAATCCTTCCAGCTGGGTTGAAAGGTTGCTCCTTTTGTGCCTAGCTTCATGTAAGGGTCATTGTCAAAGAACTAAAAATATATTTTCCCAAAGGATTGATGAACTGGTTCAATTTTCCCAAAGCAATCAAACTGTTTTCTTTCTTCTGCAAGATTGATGCTAGCAATAACTCATGAGGTTATCCAGACAAGAAGCACAATCAGGAATACTATCTTTCTTTATTGTTAAGTTACATTAACAGAATTTTACAAGACTGAATGTATTTCTCTCCCCCCTCCCATCCCCCCCAGGCTTCCTTTGCTTTTACATTTCAGAAGACTAGGAAGGATCCCTTCTGAAATGTTTCCCACACCATCCTCCCTTCGGGTGAATTGAGACACCTTTTACATGCTGGTGATCCAGTATGCAGTTCTCCCTCCTGTCTCCTAAGACTATTCCCACAGACCATCACACTCTCAGACACTAAGAAAAATATTGAAACATACATTATTATTATTATTTATCTTTTCTTCCAAACAATTGGCCTGTTCTATTTTTTTCCTTCAGTACTAGGAGATGGTGAAGATTGACAGAGAGCAACTGGTTCAAGCCATCCAGTGAACTTACAGCTAAATGGGGATTTGAACCAAAATCTCTCAAAGCCAACACAATACCAAATTACACTGAATATTAATATCTTTTCAGAAATTGTCTCTTTTTCTAAGACCTAGAGGTTTAACTCATGATGCATCCCTAGGTGTGATGCAAATGAACCAGCTACTGTATGTGTTGAAAAATATATATATATGTTCTTATAGATTCTAAAGTTTTAACCAACATTCCTTGCATGATTTTTTGGTGAACAAAAGAACCGATTGGGCTGATCTCCTCTAATGTGCTCCATTATTAACCCAACCCTCATTGACTGTTCACAAGAGAAATCTCAGCCAGATCTGCTGACAGGAGGAAAATATTAGTCAGAGAACTGACATGCCCACAAGCAGCAGTTAATCAATAATTCGACAATCAATAATACATTAGGAATGGAGTTAGTCCTAATTAAGAGGTGAGATGCAGCCGTTCCCTACAGGAAGTATAAACTGAATTGTATAAAAGAATCTGTATAAAACTGTACAAAAGAATTAAAAAAAACATTCAAATAAGGATTATTGATAGCTCAGCCTAAAAGTGAAGAGACAAGGCAAGGACATAAAACCAAGATTTCTTTTACTGTATCTATTTTACATATCTATTTTCTGGGATTTTACATGTAGAAAAAGAAGCCACCTCTAACAAGCATCCTTAGGCTGTTTAGAAACCCAACAAATGCTTAGCCTTGCCTTTTTAATCCTGGTTCTGCCTGCAGCATGGATTCAGACCCTGAAGAGAGTGTTTCAAAATTACCAGCTTCTCTTGCCATTTTAAGGACACAGTGGCTCAATGGCTAAGACACTGCGATTGTTGATCAGAAAGATCGGCAGTTCGGTGGTTCCAATCTCTAGCGTCATGTAACTGAGTGAGCTCCCGTTTTCCCAGCTTCTGCCAACCTAGCAGTTTGAAAGCATGTAAAAATGCAAATAGAAAACTAGGAACCACCTTTGGTGCGAAGGTAACAGCATTCCATGCGCCTTCAGAATGTAGTCATGCCGGCCACATTACCACGGAGAAGTCTTCAAACAGCGTTGGCTTTTCAGCTTTGAAACAGAGATGAGTACTGCCCCCTAGAGTCAGGAATGGCTAGCACGCAAGTGCAGGGAACTTTTACCTTTACCTTGCCATTTTATTCCACTACATTCTCTTTCAGAGTGGGGAAAATTGAAGGCAGTCTTTTGCAAGATTAGCAGGAGATAGATAGAACACTGCAGGAGAACCCCACCCTCACCCCAAATTACGAAAATGCTTGGAACTGGAGGGTGAAAACTATGCTCAAAATTACAATAGTTAACCATTGTGTGAAAACAAGACACATATTATAATTTAATGCATACCTATAAAACATACAATGTAACTGAGAGCTCAATCACTTCTTGATATTCCACCCAGTGGTGGGTTCCTACTAGTTCGGACTGGTTTGGCCGAACCAGTAGTAGCTTGGCAGCCTGGGTCACTGGAACCGACAGCAACCCAGGTCTGCCATGCCCCTGAACTGGTTCCCCATCTTGTCTTTTGCTTCTGTGCATGTGCAGAGCAATTTTAGGTGTACTGTGAATGCACACACAGCACGCATCAAGAGCATCCTGAGCAAACCAACAGTAGTCTCTGCCAGAACCCATCCCTGATCCCACCCTCTTATTTCAGATGTTTGCAGTGTGATTTATGATCATTTAATAGCATTCTAGACTGGTCTTTAGGCTTTCCACATGATCTAATTTTTTCACATCTTAGATACAGGCAAACAGAAACTACAGATTCCAGGGTAGAAAACTGTTTGACACAAATTACGTTTCCCATATAAGGATCATCTAGGGATGCTTTAGAGATACACAAATCTCAAAAGCAAGAGGAGGAGGATGGCAAGCAGGGAGAATAAAGCCCAATACATTCCTTAAAAATTAGAATAGCGTCTATTTGCCTGCTGCATTTCAAATCTTATAAAATCCTTGCTTTTGCTGCTACAATAAAAATGTTTTCATACAGCATATTGCACTTGTAGTCTACATAAGCCTTTAGGTTGCAAAGTAAGCAACTCTTATGGAATTGCTTCAACAAAAAATGTTCAGCAGTAAATCTTAGGGAACTCTGAGCCTGTCTGGCATTACATTTTGGAGTATGACCTAGGTAGAATGGAGTCCCAATTTCCAATGTCAGTTCCAATTTAGATGGAGGAAGAATCTGGGGGAAAACATTCAATGAATTCATACTGTAGAATGGGAATATATTTGTGGAAGATGGAATATTTACAAAGAGGAATGTTTTTGTTTGAAAACTTTAACTTCATATAGTGAAGGGGATAAATGCTTATGACATTCCTGTTAGATAGAAATGTGGGATGTAAATTGATTGTGTGGCATCAGGTTGTTTTCAGTGACCTCATAGATAGATTTTTTTTCTCCCATGACAATCTATCCCCAATGGGGTATAAATAAATTAAAATGATCTCAAAAAGATCACTGGAAAAAACATTCAATGAAGGAAAAAGGTTGGAAAGAGAAATAATTTCCTTGGTAGCTGGACTTAATCCTTGCTTTGCTCTTCTACAAACAAAGCTTCAGGTTTTCCTTGTCAGCTATGCTTTTTAAATTGCTTGATTAACTTTATTGTTTTTAACCGTGTGTGTGTGTGTGTGTGTGTGTGTGTGTGTGTGTGTGTGTGTGTTATTTCTCTTGAAGCTGTTTTGAGTGTCCTCAGGGAAAGATTGAAAATAATTATTTGAGAAAGAGTGGTAGAAGGAGATTATAGGGGATTGCAGAAATCCTCACTGAATGCAATGCAATCTATATCTAGATTCCAAAAGACATTTTTATTTTAAACAATTTAGAAGGAAAAAGCATGGCTATCATCATTCTTAAGGCCAGCACCCAAAAATCTTAAACCGAGAAGGGTTAGGCTTATACTTTCTTTTGCATCTCCTGTACAGGTTGTATGTAAATAGCATAGGTAACAATAGATTTTTCCCTCTATTTGACAGCAGGTAGAAGGATCATTAAGAGAGATCATTCAAAGCAGCTGTTCCCAGTATGAACACCTTGGGCAGTCATGGTTGGTTGACTGAGGGTAATAAATATGTTTAAGGGACAGAAAGATTGCGGTAGGAATTTGAACTAGCACTCATGTTGCTTTTAGGAAAGCATCAATCTTCCATAAAACAGTCCTCTATATCTTTCATGCATACACAGACCATCATAATCTATTCATCCACTAATCTCGTGTGCCCCAAATCAATAGTCCAAGGAAATCAACATCATTATGACATATCCATTCAAAATGATCAGCCTCAGCACCAACACACTTGTGCATTGTGCAGAAATGAGTTCACGTGACAAGTGGGGTGGGGGGCAAAAAGACCACTAATCTTTTCGGTGTGCCAGCCTATCATCACATTTCATATTATGTAATATGATGTGCATTCCGCCTCCATGGAGTGCAATGTTAGTAGCTTTCTATTTTTATACACACACACACAGACACAGTCTTTTTACTGTGATGGATTTGTTTTTTTAAAAAAAGAGAAAATACGGATCATTCAGGGCCATTTCAAAAATAAAATCTTAAGTACGTTTCAAAATTTGGCTACAACTGGAATTCCACATGCTGAAAAGGAATGTTAAATATAGCTATACTCTCTTATCTTCCAAAATTTTAAACATCAAATTGCTTTTCTCCTCTTGCCTCCTTCCCCTCGCCCTGACCCATACAAAGAAATTCTCAAAAGCTATGACAGCAACTAAAAATCTGAGAGTAGGGGATAGAATAATAATGTAAAAGTGTACATTTTACAATATAAACCACTTTTTACTACCTCTCATACTCACAAAAATGTGAATTCGTGGATGATGCATTGACATAGATAAACTATTATGAATTAAGCCTTAATAATCATGAGTAATTATACTGGCTTGGGGGGGGAGGCTGGCTGCAAATCAAAGACACTTTACACATGGTTGTGAGTCAGGTTTTTCATTATTATGCCAAATAAATGTAAAATGAATCTGCAAAGTTAATGTCATCTACTTTTCCCCCCCTAACAATACAATCTGTGCAACTTTAATCATTTTGTCATCAGAACAATTTGGAATAAATATTTAGTGACAGAATGTTCAGAATGGTCCATGGCATAGCACATCTGGCTGAATATCATTCAAATAAGTAACACATTATCTGTAAATGTTGGTTCTTTATATACTTATGTCAGAAACTAAAATGAATTAAATGGACTATGTAAATGATGTAACAGAGATTAGGCCCTTACATTATATCTAACAGTGACAAATTATCAGTTTGGTGGTTAAGGCATTCAGCTAGAAACCAGGAGATTGGGAGTTCTAGTCTCACTTTAGGCATGAAAACTGGCTGGCTGATTTGAGCAAGTCACTTTCTCTCTCAGCCCAGTGCACATCTCATGGTTGTTGGTGGTGGAAAATAGGAGGAAATGTTAGCTGCCTTGAGTTATTTATAAAAATAATAAATGTAGGATTAAAAAATCTAAAATAAAAAATGTGCAAGATAAATCACCGTTTAGCACAGCTTGTCTTGTGTATGACTGATCATTAGCCAATAACAGTCACTTTAATACAGCTTCACTTTAATACAGTACATTCCAGATGTGATAAGATTCCTAAAATCAGCATGGTCTTTGACCAAGAATCAGGAGAAGACGATTCAAAACACTTGGGAGACTAGAGGCTTGGTTACTTCTGAATTTTTGTGTTGGGTGAAGAAGCCCATGGCTCAAATACTTACTGAGCCAAGAATCTAATTACAATAAGTGACTTCAGTACTACTTTCTCAATTCCTACCTCAAAAGATTGTTGTAAGGAGAGGAGGAGGAGGAACAGGAGGAGGAGAGAGGGGAGGAAAGAGCCATATAAGCAACAAAGCAAAAGAGCACATCTCCTAATTTTTAGGCACTGTTTTCTTTCTTTCTTTCTCTTTTTTTCCCTTTTATTTTCTTTTTTAAAATAAAAAACAGCATCTTTTACACTCCTAGATACATACAGTGAGAGAAAAAGGGAAACATAGAATGTAATTTCTTTTTCTCATTAAGTCTAAACAGCTTTCCAGCATTTTTGAAATCTCAAGAGTTGGGGGGGGGGAGAGATGTGTGCGCATGTGCTATGTTGGTATCCTAGCTATCCAAACAGGTAATCCATCTCAAATTCAGAAATGCAGATCACCACCTACTTTGTGTTAATTTGCTGCAAAACACTAAAATACTGCACAGTTGCCGTATTCTAAAATAAGGCAGAGACCCAGCAAGATGAATAATGTGAGAAGACCTGCCATCCATTTTGTCTATCACCACACTATGATGAAATAAGGCAAAGCAATTTAAAGAAAGGGACCACCCTTAAAAATACCCAGGGAGTGGTGAAGATTAGGTGGCTTAAAGGCATATTATGGTTTCCCTACACAAAAATAAATACTTTTGTCCAGGAAAAAGAAAATATTCATTCATTCATTCATGCCCCAGTAACAGAACATCTTTCAGCTGGATTTGAAAGGAATCATCATCATCATCATCATCATCATCATCATCATCATCATCATCATCATCATCATCATCATCATCATCATGCCAGTAACAAGCTGCGAAGCATTACTCCTATTCCTGTGAAAGCAATTCCCACTGAGACTTAATTCAAAGTAGACTCACATGGTGGATCGCACTACAAATATACCCACGTAGTGAGACAATGATTGCCATTTTGCACAATACACTAACTAAGCCATACCCCTGGCTACCCATATTTTGACTTAATAATGCTGATCGCCTAATCCAATTTGTTTGTGATTCAATGTGTTATGAAAGCCCAGAAATCTGGCTTATGTTCATCGTGGTTCAATTAACCATAGTTAAATACGTCACACGCGAACACCCAGCTATTCTCTATGATGTGGATAACACACATCTCCACCCCTCTTTTTCCAACCAGGAATCCGAGAAATTATTATATTCAATCATTTCAGGTCTCTTCTAACCTGCACTACACTTAAATCCGCGAACAGTTTAAAAATGAAACCACAGAAGCCTTCAAGATCTCACGCGCGCAACGCTACTCGAGGCTAAACGAAAGGCGGAAAGAGAATCCAATACTAGTATGGCAAATCCGCCCATTAATACCAATCTTTTTTTTTTTTTAAAGACAGATCGGAAAGGATCCGCGTGGTTTTGGGGCGAACCGATCTGAAAGAAGAAGGAATGGGAGGAAGAAGGGTAGAGGGAGTAAATCTTCATCGAGAGCTAAATCTCAAGATAAGAGATTCTGTTTAGGGTTAGAGGCGAGGTGACACAATGCAAAGGAACAACCGGGGCGACGGCGAGGGGACATTCCAGCCGAGAGGAGCGAAATGGGTCGGAGTGGGAAGGATAGAAAAGGAAGCGCCGAGGTCCACTGAAATCGTGGGAAGGCTTACAGTGGCTTACCGCTTCACCCCACTCCCCTTATTAAATACAGGAGCCGGGAGACGAGAGAAAGAAAGAGAAAGGGGGAAATGGATGCGCCGAAAGAAAGAAGTGGGGGGGAAAGCTGGCAGCCCTCACTCACCTGTTTTCGGCGGCGATTAGAGCCGAGACTGGGTGGGAATACCGAGTGCCCCTCTTTCTCTTGATCTTGGAGATTCGCGGCTTCGTAGCTGAGCTTTGCCTTGGCTTGACTGGGAAGCGGCTCGGATCATTCTTGACGTCTCCTCTAGGGGCTTTAAAGGGGCAGCACTTCACAGAGAGATGCGATGGGCCCCACCAAGCCACGGCTTGCGGGAAAGCTTTCTTTTTTCTTATTATTTCACAAGCAAAGTACGAGCGATCGGGTTTTGATTGGATATCGCTCAAACATTAAATTTGGCTGAAAGGAGAGGCCACAGTCTAGAAGTGTCTTTGAACAACTTATCTTGGGGGCACAGTTGCCATGTCTCTTTTTCAAGGAGTTTGCAGGGATGTTGACGCCCGAATTGGCCAACTATTTTTTTCACTATCGCTTGTCCTAAGACCATCCAAAATTGTGTGGATACTATAAACGATTGTGTAACAAGTTTATGGATAACAAAGAGAGCCACAGATAAGGTTCCGCTTGCAATTATACCAACATTAGTTTGTTTTTGATTTAGTGGAAGCCCAACCAGTTGCATCATATTGGTCTACCTATTAATAAATGGAGGTATGGCATAAGGTGTGAAAACAGTCAAATAGGCTGAATTCCTATAATATGTTATGCCTAATGCTTGTTTTAAGCAAGATTTTATTATTAAGGCACAACTGTCTGAATTTACAAATCCTACTGCTGAGTCCAAACCAAACAAACTTTATTATGAAAAGAATATCCCTGGCACCATTTTCCTCCTGTCCAAACCTCTAAACCTTTGACACTTGGGCAGACCTCTACATAATATTCGTCGTTCTGCTCCAACCGAGATAAAACGTCACATTTGAATATCCATATGTTATTGAGCTGTGAAAAGCACCAGAACAGAAAGTTTGCTGTGCAAAAATTCCAGGCAACATACAGAGTCCGTGGTTAGTTCATAAAGATAGAATAGATTTAATAATTTTAGCAGGCTGTAAAATGAGCTACTGGCCAGGCAAGAAAAGATTAATAAATTGTGCTGGAGATGAAACCTGAAAAGAAGATATATGCAAGGCAAAATCAAGGGGCAAAATGTTTCATGGCAATGTGTACAGATCGTTCTCGACTTACGACCACAATTGAGCTCAAAATTTATGTAGTTAAATGAGACATTTATTGAGTTTTCCCCATGACCCTTTTTGTCACAGTTGCTAAGTGAAGAACTGCAATTATTAAGTTACTGATATGGTTGTTAAATGAATCTGGCTTCCCCCATTGATTTTGCTAGTCAGAAGGTCACAAAAGATGATCGTGTGATATTAGGACATAGCAATGGTCATAAATATGAAACCAGTACCCAAGCCTCTGAATTTTGATCACATGGTCAGGAGAATGCAGCTGAGGCCATAAGTGTGAAAAATGGTCATAAGTCACTTTTTTCAGTGATGTAACATTGAACGGTCACTAAATGAACTGTTGTGACTTGAGGACTACCTGTTAAAGGCGCAGAGAATTTGGACAAGCACTTCCCTAATAAGACTCTTGTGAGCCTTGGTCATGGAAAAGAACAATTTGATCTGATTGAAAGCTGTCAAGATGATTGACATATTGAGGTAGTCCATCAGTCCAGCTGACAGAAGAACACCCGAGGGAAGAAAACAAAATCTCATCTCCTCTTCTATCAAGCTTTATTTTTGAGGACACTTTCTAGAACAGTGATGGCTAACCTTTTTGTTGTTGCATGCCGAAAGTGTGTGTGCATGGGCGGGTGCACCCTCACCCATAATGCAATTTGTGCATGACACACACCCCATGTGTCCCTCCCTCTCCACATGCACATGCTCCCCACCATGCATCATGCACCAACCTGGAAGCAAAAATGGGGTGCGGGGGTGCCACACGAGGTCCTCAAATGCAATATGAGTGCCCCCTGTGCATGTGCCCCATCCCCCCATGAATGTACGTATGCATCCCCCGCATGTGCCCTGCCTCTACACATGGGTGGCAGAGACCTGAAGACCAGCTGGCTGGCGGGAGGTGTGCATGCATGTGCGGTGGAGTTTGGCAGGGGCAACGGCTGGCATGCACACAGAGAGGGTTCTGTGTGCCACCTATGGCACATGTGCCATAGATTCACCATCATAGCTCTAGAGACTTCCTACCCTCTTTCTTAGCCAGAGATTTAAAAAGTGTATTTTGGTATGTAAGATTTGAATAATTGCTAGAGTGAATATGAGATCCTTATGTTACTAAAATAAAGTTTTAAAAATATTGTGATGGTATCTTAGAATCATTGGGTGATGTTCACTGACTTTTCTGCCACATAAAAGATTCTCAATTCTGTTAGGAAGGGCTGTCATTTCAAAACAGTGGGGGAAGCAACCTTGTGCCCTCCAACCTTTATTTTTATCAGCTCCAGTCAAACCAGAGAATGGCGAAACACTTGGGGAATTGTATTCCAAAACATTTGGAGTACACTGGTTGCCTAAATTAGATGGTCAGCCTCTACCAATGCAGTATGTCAACCAGATGTCTTGAACTTCAGTCTCTATATTTCATACTGAGCTTGATCTTTGAGATGGATATTATTGGATTTCTGGAAATTGCTGAATTAGGTAAGGTTGATATAGGTACACTAGTGTCTAATGTGCATTCAGTTATTCTTGCTTGTTTGCTTGCTTGAAGAACAGCTTCAAACAAAACAGTAACTCAATCAGCTAAAATTAGAGTAAACCTATTACTATCTTTATACAATTGCATACCATCACATTATAATGGTTTCTAATGTCCCTCAGGAATTGGATTTGGGCAGGTTTATCCTAAATTTAGATTACTGGGTTTAAGGCTGCTGACTTCTTACTAGGCTGTGATGTTTTGCAAATGATTTGCTTATTCACAGCTTCAAGAAGGCAGGGATACAAATACTTTTCAGCCAGTGGCATCTACAGTATTCCACAATGACATCAAAAATATGTCTAGCTATGTCATCACGCAACTGATGCACTTAGGTGATGACATCATGTTGCTTGATACAAGTAAAAATATCATGGAATATGTGTGATGTCATGCATGTTACAACATTTGCTCAACTGGCAGACACCAGTGTTTCCAGCAACTGGCACTATTTCAAGATGAATCCTCAAACACCAAGTCTATTATCAGCCATAAAGGACATTTTTACGGCTTTAAATTCAAGTGAAAATTATTTTCAAATACGAATTGCTAGTACTAGAACAGTCTTATTTCAATAAAATGTAATCCCACTTTTATTATTATTACAACAATCCTATCCTGTGAGTTATGCTGGGAGTGATAGATTCAAAGTCATCCAATAAACTTGTGGATTAAAAAAATTGAATGCATAGCTTCAAAGTTTTAAGTTCCATTCCTTCATTACAATTCTACTCTGAACACAAGACAAAGCATACACTGGCCAGATACTTCTATGTAAACGAAGCATAGGCATCATGTTGAATGACAAGATTGCTAGCTTTTCAAACACTTGTTGGAATGTTTCTCGTTTTTACATAAACTGTTTAAAAAGCATTGGCATCTGTACATTTATATCAGTCATTTATTTTAACGTTAGGTGCATAAGGAAGTAGTAATGATATAGTTGTCCCTTATAAATGGCAATATGGGAAGGAAAATTGTATGTGAAATAGTGAGGGAATAAATCATGAAAGGCAGGAGTTGCTTGTATAAAACAACTGACTAACTGAACCACGATTTACTAAGTCAACACAATTATCTGTATTCACATAATATACTGAATAATAATAGGGCACATACAATGAGTTTGGAATGGCCAGGGGTGTCAAACTCATGTCATGGGTTTGCCACTTGATGTATCACAACTTTCCCCCCTTCACTAAACCAGGCGTGGGCATGGCAGCGTGTGACGCATCCGGACTGTGGGTCACAAGTTTGACAGCCCTGCATAAGAATTATACAATTTTAGTGTTTCAGGATGATTAACAGAATTAGGGGTTGATAGATAACCGAGTTAGGTCTAGTTGTTAAGGCATTGTTGGAAGATTAAAAACCTCCATGACACCCTGTTTAGCCACAAAGCCCCCCCCCTACTTTCATCTGTTCCACAGGCAAATCCTCCCCTGACCCACATGCAAAGTTATAAAAATCTTTACACTGAAAAATTTAAAAATCTGTAAATTTAATTTTAAAAAAACCTGTAAACTGAAATTTAAATGTAAGCTGTAAGCTGGCAGCCAATACAGGTGAATCAATCAGGAAGCAAGATCATCTGAAAGATATGGAAACCTCCTAAATCACAATACCTGAAGTCAGATTCCCCAACACTCCCCATAAAAATTCTACACCTAGAGAAGATTCCACACTTAGAAAACATCCACACTCCCTAACCATGCAGCCCCAGAACAAAAACATTTCAATCAACATATCTACACACTTCACAATCAAAGCCAATTTTCACTATAAATATTACTGCTCTGATTTCATGGTTCCCTTGAAGAGCTGAATTGTAAATTTTGATTTGCTGTCAGATAAAGTCTACCTCCATTTTATTGCACTGTGCTCATTTAGTCAGCCACAGAATGGACCAGAATTTTCTTCTAATAGCAGCTGGCTAGAAACTCAGGGTGTGTGCTTGATACCTTGAACTATTTATAAAAATAATAAAGGCAGGATTTTTTAAAAAAATCTCCCCTCAACTCTTGGGGAAAGGCTCAGATTGGAGGGAAGAGTGCCTGCCACTTTGTTCAAGTGGACTGTTCAGTTGCCTCAGTTCCATGTTCCAAAGAACACAAGTCATAATGTCTTAGGCAATCATGTGAAGCATGTTTCTAATCCTTACTGCTGCCCGCAGAGAAGTTGAGAAATTATCCTTTCCTTTTCTGTTGTTGGGTTATTGTTATTTTCCCCCTACCAGAACAAAATAGATACCAGTATCAGCACCATGGACAGAGTCAGGAGGAATGTATTTCAAACTACCAGTTTCTGCCCCCATTTCACCCACGCCCACCCTTTGTCAGGATTGCCATTACAGTGGTAGCAGCACTTATATATTTATTACAGTCACAAACCAGTAATTTATGCAGCATTTGAAAGAAGACTACAAGGCAAAGGTCCATAGCCA